GTTTAGACAGTAGCTCACATGTTGTCCAATCCCCACTGGTTGTCTCAAATCCTGAGCCAAATATCCGCAAATCCTGAACCAACTTCCTTAAACTGTTGCCTAATGCCAACATCTGAGGTCTCTGCTTAGTTTTCTGAATTCCCTAACTGGTAGTTTAGCTTCTAGAGAAATATTCTGACTCCAACCCGGTTCTTTCGGATCCCTAACCGATGTGCGCAAGTTCTTGCCTCATTGTTCGGATCCTCTACATCCCCTACCCAATTTCCCCAATCGTCGCTACAACTTTCTCAAATCTTAGCCCGTCTTGCTTTCACTAACCAATTTTCTTGAATCTTGGAGCAATGTCTTCAAATCCCTGATCCGTTTTCTCAAGCGCATGCCCAGATTTCAAATCTTTACCCAAACTTCTCCTGAACCTCCCAGCCATTTTGAAATACTGGGCCTCCCTGCAGACTTCTCACATCCAAATCCGTATCCAAGGTATCGAACTCTCGCATAATTAATGGACAAAGAATTCCAAATCAGTTTTGCAAGATCCGCATATCGCTGACAGATAGTTTCAAATCCATAGCCAAGTGCCTTCTTTTGCCACACGTTTCTTCAGTATTCCGATCCAAATCTTCGCCGACCTTTGCCCAACGGGGCTAAATTATGTTGTTGCCCATAGTCCCCAGCCCCAACCTCTACATAACATGAACAAGCCTGAAATCTGTCACGCCCTGAACCAGCAAGGTACGTGTTGATGTCCCTGTACTACCTGCAGTTCCTGGATTTTAGCTTGGCAAAATCTTTGCTTCATCACTAAAGTTTATTCGAGACGTATGGGTCTTGTCTGCCACCTTGGGGTTACATGTGGTCAGACAAAGAATGCGTAGAAATCGTGAGCCGCGAGTGGAATGCAGAATTCCTGTGACGATCAGTCAGTTCCTGACCATGATTGGCAAGTGATACTTGCAAATGGGTTTGGCATTGCACAGTTGCTGTGCTGGAGAGGGCATGAGCCAGGCCTCACCTGTGCCGTGACTTCAGATGTGCATTCAGATGTGCATTGAATATGATAACGGTAGGTACCTTGATCCCCACGAACATCCACGCCGCCTAATTCCAGCTAATTCTTCAACACCATAGGAAAGCTGAACAAGTTTGCCAGGGCTTTGCGGCGTATAGACTGCAAGTACGTAATTTGCTGGACTTGATATATGTAGACTTCGAGAGTACGATGTTTGAGAATAGGTCTGCTCAATGACGCCTCTAGCTTTTCAGTATATACGGCTTACGAGGGGGCGCTCCGCATGTTTAGCTTCCTTACTGAGACGTACCTACCATCTTCTTGCGCTGGTCTACGCCATGAAGGTACCCAAAAGCTTTGAGCCCCAATTCCAGAAGCATCGCTATAAAAGCCCCAAAACCTAAACTAAACCTTAGTTCCCAATCCTAAATCTAAAGCACCTCAGCCCTAAATCCCAAATCCCCAATCACTTGAATTGAAGCCCCGAGACTTTAGACCAGGCAGTTGCAGCCGTACGTCATCCCCAACCTCCAGGAAATGTGCTGCTCCCGGAGGGACATGCATAACCCAGATGTTCAACCTAAACAATGTTGTAATTTCGAGGGTATAAGATGGTAAAAGGTATGTAATTAGGGTTCAGGTGCTGGGGTCTAGGGTTTTTTTTTATCAGAAAGGGGAACCTTTGGGCCGGAGTCGGAGACCCTAGATAAATCTGCCGGTTACAAGAGGGTCTGGCTTTGTTATAACCCGTATGATTTTTGGAAAAGTATTGCAGGTCTAGAGGGACTACGGCTCAGAATGATTTTCAGAGGATATTATAGAGATTGTAGAGCAGGTTCTGTGACGGCTACTGTGGGATCACCGGATTGGTGAGGATCTCGTCAATGTCAGGGACTCCTCTGAACCTGTTAAGTCTGTTACTCTCTGTCTTCTGCTCCCTGTCAGTGCCGTGCACCTAAAACAGAGTGTTCTGAAAGCATCTTTGGATCCTGGTTCGATCGCAAAACTGGATCCTGATTAGCACAGTCGAGAGAAAACACTTGCTCTGGTAGCATAGCCAAAAGCGACCCTATATAGCCCGTATATAGTAGTTTCCATTCTATTCTTCCATTATTTAAGGGCTGCCGCCG